ATGTCGGTCAGGCTGGTCTCGAACTCCTGACCTCATGATCCACCTGCCTCAGCCTCCCAAAGTGTTGGGATTACAGGTGTGAGCCACCATGCCTGGCCCTATTGTTTTTGCTATTTTGGGTTTTTTGAGATTCTATGTACATTTTATTTAATTAATTATTTTTTTTTGAGACAGTCTCACTCTGTTGCCCAGACTGGAGTGCAGTGGCGTGATCTTGGCTCTCTACAACCTCTGCTCCCCGGGTTCAGGCGATTCTCCTGCCTCAGCCTCCCAAGTGCCTGGGATTACAGGCACCTGCCACCACGCCCAACTAATTTTTTGTATTTTTAGTAGACACGGGGTTTCAACATGTTGGCTAGGCCAGTCTGAAACTCCTGAGCTCAGGCGATCCTCCCACTTCGACCTCTCAAAGTGTTGGGATTACAGGCGTGAGCCACTGTGACTGGCTGGTATTTTTATTTCTGAAAAAAAAACAAAAAACAGACACGAGATTTTGATAGGGATTGTATTGAATTTGCAGATAATTTTGGGTAGTATTACCTTCCAAATAATGTAGAGTCTCTTTTTTCTTTGACACAGAGTCTCGCTCTATTGCCTAGACTGGAATGCAGTGGCACAGTCTTGGCTCACTATAGCCTCCTGGGTTCTGCCTCCTGGGTTCAAGCGATTCTCCTGCCTCAGCCTCCCGAGTAGCTGGGACTACAAGTGCATGCCACCACGCCTAATTTTTTTGTGTATTTTTATTAGAGATGGGATTTTACCATGTTGGCCAGGCTGGTCTCAAACTCCTGACCTTAGGTGATTTGCCTGTGCCTGGCGTTTTTTGTTTTTTGTTTTGTTTTGTTTTGTTTGAGATGGAGTCTTGCTCTGTCCCCTAGGCTGGGGTTCAGTGCCATGATCTTGGCTCACTGCAACCTCCACCTCCTGGGTTCAAGCAATTCTCCTGTCTTAGTCTCCGGAGCAGCTGGGATTATAGGCACACGCCACCACACCTGGCTAATTTTTGTATTTTCAGTAGAGACGGGGTTTCACCATGTTAACCAGACTGGTCTCGACCTCCTGACTTTGTAATCCTCCCACATCGGCCTCCCGAAGTGCTAGGATTGCAGACATGAGCCACCACACCCAGCCAAATAATGTAAAGTCTTTGAACACATGAACACAAGATATTTTCAATTCATGTCTTTAATTTCATTTAGCAACATTTTGTTATTTTCAGTGTACAAACAGTCTTTTGACTTCTTGGTTTGTAATTCCTAAGTGTTCAATTCTTTTTTTTTTTTTTTTTTTGAGACGGAGTCTGTCACCCAGGCTGGAATGCAATGGTGTGATCTCAACTCACTGCAACCTCTGCTGCCCGAATTCAAGTGATTCTCCTGCCTCAGCCTCCCAAGTAGTTGGGATTTCAGGTGCCTGCCACCGCGCCCGACTGATTTTTGTATTTTTAGTAGAGATGGGGTTTCACCATCTTGGCCAGGCTGGTCTTGAACTCCTAACCTTGTGATCCACCCGTCTTGGCCTCCCAAAGTGCTGGGATTACAGATGGGAGTCACTGCGCCCGGCCTATTCAATTCTTTTTGGTGCTATTGTTTGTGGTATTGTTTTCTTAATTTCTTTTTCTCATTATTCATTTATGGTGCATATAAATGCAACTGACTTTTTTGGTCTTGAGACAGTCTCCCTCTGTTGCCCAGACTGGAGTACAATGGTGTGATCTCGGCTCACTGCAACCTCTGCCTCCTGGGTTCAAGTGATTCTCCTGCCTCAGCCTCTCGAGTAGCTGGGACTACAGGCATGGGTTACCACACCTGGCTAATTTTGTATTTTTAGTAGAGATGGGGTTTCACCATGCTGGTCAGGCTGGTCTTGAACTTCTGACCTCAAGTGATCTACCCACCTGGACCTCCCAAAGTGCTGGGATTACAGGCGTGAGCCACTGCACCTGGCCCCATTGTTTTTCATACATTGAACCATCCTTGCATTTTCTGGATAAATCTCTCTTGATCATGCCATATAATCCTTTAAATATGGCAGGTATGATTTGCTAGCATTTATTGAGGATTTTTTGCATTTATATTCGTAAAGGACATTTGTGGTTTTCTTTTTTGTAGTGTCAGCATAATTTTGACTTCATAGAGGGAGTTTGGAAATGTTTCCTCTTCAGTTTTGGAAGAATTTGAGGAGGATTGATAGCAATTCTTTTTTAAATATTTGGTGGATTTCAGCAGTGAAACTCTTTGGTGTTCTGGGTTTTGTATTTGTTGAGGTTTTTAAAATTATTATTATTATTTTTGAGATGGAGTCTTGCTCTTTTGCCCAGGCTGGAGTATAGGTGGTATGATCTTGGCTGACTGCAACCTCTGCCTCCTGGGTTCAAGCGATTCTCCTGCCTCAGCCTCCTGAGTAGCTGGGATTACAGGCATGCACCACCATACCCAGCTAATTTTTGTATTTTTAGTAGAGACAGGGTTTCACCATGTTGGTCAGGCTGGTCCTGAACTCCTGACCTCGTGATCCGCCTGCCTCAGCCTCCCAAAGTGCTGGGATTATAGGTGTGAGCCATCACGCCTAGCCTATTATTATTATTTTTTTGAGACAGAGTCTCGCTCTGTCACCCATGCAGGAGTGCAGTGGCGTGATCTCGGCTCACTGCAACCTCCGCCTCCCAGGTTCATGCCATTCTCCTGCCTCAGCCTCCCGAGTAGCTGGGACTACAGGCGCCTGCCGCCATGCCTGGCTAATTTTTTGTATTTTTAGTAGAGACGGGGTTTCACTGTGTTAGCCAGGGTGGTCTCGAACTCCTGACCTCATGATCTGCCCGCCTCTGCCTCCCAAAGTGCTGGGATTACAGGCGTGAGCCACTGCGCCCGGCCAATTTATTAATTTTCTTTTTTTTTTTTTTTTTTTTTGAGATGGAGTCTCGCTCTGTCTCCCAGGCTGGAGTGCAGTGGCCGGATCTCAGCTCACTGCAAGCTCCGCCTCCCGGGTTCAGGCCATTCTCCTGCCTCAGCCTCCCGAGTAGCTGGGACTACAGGCGCCCGCCACCTCTCCCGGCTAGTTTTGTGTATTTTTTTAGTAGAGACGGGGTTTCACCGTGTTAGCCAGGATGGTCTCGATCTCCCGACCTCGTGATCCGCCCGTCTCGGCCTCCCGAAGTGCTGGGATTACAGGCTTGAGCCACCGCGCCTGGCCAGCCACCGCGCCCGGCCTAATTTTCTTAATTTATGTTATTTTTTTGAGACGGAGTTTCACTCTTGTTGCCCAGGCTGGAGTGTAATGGCGTAATCTTGGCTCACTACAAGCTGCGCCTCCCAGGTTCATGTGATTCTCTTGCCTCTGCCTCCCAAGTAGCTAGGATTACACGCGCCTGCCACCACGCCAAGGTACTTTTTTGTATTTTTAGTAGAGACGGAGTTTCACCATGTTGGCCAGGCTGGCCTCGAACTCCTGACTTAAGGGGATCCACCCGCCTTGGCCTCCCAAAGTGCTGGAATTACAGGCAGGAGCCCCCGTGCCCAGCTGTTTTTTTTTTTTTTTTTTTTTTTTTAAATTTATTACTATGTCAATCTCCTATTACTACAGCTCTATTCAGACTTTTTGTTTTTTCATGACTCAGTCTTGGTATATTGTGTATGTGTAGACATTCGTCCACGTAATCAATTATCTAATTTGCTGAAGTATTCTGAAGGACTTCTGAAACTAAGCCTGAGTTGTACGGTTGTATAGTTTTTTGTGCTCTGCTGTATGTATGTATTCTGCTGCTGCTGTTGTGAGTGTAAGGGTTGAGGTGAGGGGAAGCATTCTATTGACCTATGACTTAGCCTCATTAAAAGATAATAGGCCGGGCACAGTGGCTTGTGTGTGTAGTCCCAGCACTTTCAGAGGCAAAGGTGGGCAGATTGCTTTAGCCTAGGAGTTTGAGAGGAGCCTGGGCAACACAGGGAGATCCTATCTCTACAAAAAATACAAAAATTAGCTGGGTGTGGTGGTAGTAGGGGACAAAGTGGGAGGATCGCTTGAGCCTGGAAGGTTAAGACTGCAGGGGCCATGATTGTACCACTGCACTCTAGTCTAGACAACAGAGTGAGATCCTATCTCAAAAAAAATATTATATCAATATTTATTTATTTATTTATTTGGAGACAAAGTCTCACTCTGTCACCCAGGCTGGAGTGCAGCAACAGAATCCTAGCTCACTGCAGCCTTGAATTCCTGGGCTCAAGCAATCCTCCTGCCTTAGCTTCCCAAGTAGCTAGGACCACAGGCACCTGCTAACATACCCTGCTAATGTTTTAAAAATGTTTTTTCTGGAGATGGCCATAACTTTTACTTTTTTTGTTTTTTGAGGTAGAGTCTTGCTCTTTTGCCCAGGCCCACCACACCTGGCTAATTTTTGTATTTTTAATAGAGACTGGTTTTCACCATGTAGGCCGGGCTGGCCTTTAACTCCTGACCTCAAGTGTTCTGCCCCACTACTCTACAATGTCTGCTCTATTATTAACTAAGTTTTCATATGAATACTGGCCCATTGAAGACTCTCTTCTTTTCCTTTGATCTATTTGTTTATCTCCCTGCTAGTAGTATGCTGTCCTGAATGTGATGGTTTGGAAATCCTTGGTGTGTGTTAGGCAAGCCATCCACCAGCTATTCAGGAGGCTTTGGCAATTATTAGATGTTAATTCCTGCACACCAGGTAGTGGGAGGTTTGGAAAAGTAGCTTTTGTTGACCTAAAATGTCTGTTTTGAGGATTTTTTTTTTTTTTTTTTGAGACAGAGTCTCGCTCTGTTGCCCAGGCTGGAGTGCAGTAGCATGATCTCGGCTCACTGCAATCTCCACTTCCTGGGTTCAAGTGATTCTTCTGCCTCAGCCTCCCAAGTAGCTGGGACTACAGGCATGTGCCATCAGGTCTGGCTAATTTTTTGTATTTTTAGTAGAGATGGGGTTTCACCATGTTGGCCAGGCTGGTCTCAAACTCCTGTCCTCAAGTAATCCACCCGCCTCGGCCTCCCAAAGTGCTGGGATTACAGGTGTGAGTCACCATGCCCAGCTGTATTGGGTATTTATGAAATTTTATAAGGATATCATTTGGAAAAAGGGACATCTTATTGAGGTTTTTCTAGGAACACGTGTCATCTTTCCACTTACTCCATTCTGCTTTGATAGAAATTTAAAAATTCTTCCATGAGGACGATTAAATATTGATTATGAGTCTTATTTACTACTTGATTAAATTTGGTCTAGAGTAAACTGCTTGCAACCTTCAGAATATTCTCTCTTGGTATAACCACATGGGATGAGCTCAATTCCCCAGTGGACAAGTTGTGACAACAAGTGTGACATATGTCTACTAGGAAAGCTCATTCAAGACTCAGTGCCCAGAGTGTTTTTTGGGGGCTAGTCTCCTAGGCACCGCTGCTAGTTTGGAGCAAAAGAGTAGGCTTTCAGAAGGAAAACAGTTCAGTCAGTACCATCCTGTTTGTCAATAGTAAACCGTTTAGCCACAGTGAGCCACTTTGTCACTTAGGTTGATGGGATCCCTCTTGTAGTCTAAGTTCCCCCTGATGGTAGCAAAGGTCGAACTTGGTGAACAGGCCTTTCTAAGGAGACCCAGACTCAGGACTGCTGAAAGGAGTGCTGTCTGCGCACCAGGTGGCGGCAGTTTGTTGTGACGGAGAGATCCTCTCTGCAAAGAGCATTCGGGGCAACGCAGCAGCACAACTGACTCCCTGGACCCACCACGGAGAGGGTGTTCCTCCTCTGCGGCTGGCTCTCTGAGTAGGTCAGTTCTCACACCGGAACTGCTGTGAGGGAGGAAGCGCATGTAGATAGAGAGGAGGAGGCTGATGACTCAGTCATGGAGTGAGTGAGTGGAGAACCCGGCGTCATGGGATCACTCACGTATTGGGTAGAGATCCCCAGTGCTGAGTCTCACCCCTCCTCCTCCACCCCTGTGGGATGTTTCAGGACTCAGTGGCCTTTGAGGATGTGGCTGTGAACTTCACCCAGGAGGAGTGGGCTTTGCTGAGTCCTTCCCAGAAGAATCTCTACAGAGATGTGATGCTGGAAGCCTTCAGGAACCTGGCCTCTGTCGGTAAGGAGGGCAACATTTCCTTCCTTAGTCAATTAGAAGACAAGTGTGCTTTGGTCACCAGTGTGGTTGCACAATTTGGAATGTGGAAAGAGAATATGTTGGTGAATAAATCGGGCATCGTGGGCCAGGTACAGTGTGGCTTACCCCTGTAATCCTAGTGTTTTGGGAAGCCACGGTGGGAGGATTGCTTGAGTCCAGGAGTTTGAGACCATCTTGGGCAACATGATGAGACCCTGTCTCTTTAAAAAAAAAAAAAAAAAACACACACAATGGTGGGGGGTGGGCAATTGTGGTGGCTCATGCCTATAATCCCAGCACTTTGGGAGGCTGAGACAGGTGGATCACCTGAGGTCAGGAGTTTGGGACCAGCCTGGTCAACGTGGCGAAACCTCGTCTCTACTAAAAATACAAAAGTAGCTGCGTGTGGCAGTGCATAGCTGTAATCCCAGCTACTCGGGAGGCTGAGGAAGGAGAATCACTAGCACTCAGGAGGTGGAGGCTGCAGTGAGCAAAGATTGTGTCACTGCACTCCAGCCTGGGTGGCAGAGTGAGACTTTGTTTCAAAAAAAAAAAAAAAATCAGGTATTGTGGCAGTGTTTAATGAACTTAGAACCTAGTGATTTTTCTGTAGTTTTAAGTAATTCCTGATGATTTCTCTGGGTCTACATTTTAGGAATCCAATGGAAAGACCAGGACACTGAGAATCTGTACCAAAATCTGGGGATTAAGCTAAGGTAATCTGTACTCACAAGAGGAAGAATGTAATAAAGATTCTCTTGAGGGAATCTTAGCACGTCAGGAAAATAAAAAAAAAATACGAGACAAATAAGTACAATGTTAGATTTTTAACTGATTATTAGAAGATTGCCACCAAAAATCTATCCTTCCATGTAATATAGATATTGAGTGTCTGGACAGGGTACTAAGAATCTGTGACATGGATGTCACTGTTTGGATAATAGCCGTGGGGAGCTGGGTAGCAGAATCATCAATACACTTCCTTTCTAATAATTCTGACCTGGCAGAAAACCTCCGCTGTTCCTGATTTTGGTAGCAGCATAAGTCTTAAGACATGTCCATTAATAGAAAAGCGTGAATAAACCATGCGCTTGTCATTTGTCATAGAAGTCTGGTGGAGAGACTCTGTGGACGTAAAGAAGGGAGTGAACACAGAGAAACCTTCAGGCAGATTCCTGATTGTCACCTGAACAAGAAAAGTCATACTGGAGTGAAACCATGCAAATGCAGCGTGTGTGGGAAAGTCTTCCTCCGTCATTCATTCCTGGACAGGCACATGAGAGCTCATGCTGGACACACAAGATCCGAGTGTGGTGGGGAATGGGGAGAGAAGCCCCGTAAACAGAAACAACGTGGGAAAGCCTCCGTCTCTCCCAGTAGTGGTGCACAGCGCACAGTAACACCAACTCAAAAGAGACCTTATGAATGCAGGGTGTGCGGGAAAGCCTTTAATTCTCCTGATTTATTTCAAATCCATCAAAGAACTCACACTGGAAAGAGGTCCTATAAATGCAGGGAAATAGTGAGAGCCTTCACCGTTTCCAGTTTCTTTCGAAAACATGGCAAAATGCATACTGGAGCAAAACGCTATGAATGTAAATACTGTGGAAAACCTATCGATTATCCCAGTTTATTTCAAATTCATGTTAGAACTCACACTGGAGAAAAACCTTACAAATGTAAACAATGTGGTAAAGCCTTCATTTCCGCAGGTTACCTTCGGACACATGAAATCAGATCGCACGCGCTGGAGAAACCCCACCAATGTCAGGAATGTGGGAAAAAATTCAGTTGCTCCAGTTCCCTTCACAGACATAAAAGAACCCATGGTGGAGGGAAACTCTACAAATGTCAGAAATGTGCCAAAGTCTTTAGATGCCCCACATCCCTTCGAGAACATGAAAGGGCGCACACTGGAGAAAGACCTTATGAATGTAATAAATGTGGTAAAACCTTCAATTATCCCAGTTGTTTTCGAAGACATAAAAAAACTCATAGTGGAGAAAAGCCATATGAATGTAAAAGGTGTGGTAAAGCCTTTGGGTCGTGCAGTTCCCTACGAAGACATGAAATGATTCACACTGGAGAAAAGCCCTTTGACTGTAAACAGTGTGGTAAAGTCTTTACTTTTTCAAATTACCTTAGGCTTCATGAAAGAACTCATTTGGCTGGGCACAGGCCGTGCTTTGGCAGGAGGTAGGTGGATCACCTGAGCCCAGGAGTTTGAGACCTCAGATATCCCAGTTCTATTCAGAGCCTCAGATATCCCAGTTCTATTCAGATATCCCAGTTCTATTCAGAGCCATAAAAGGACTAATACTGGAGAAAAATTGTAGAAATATACAGAATATGGGGAAACTCTCATCGCTATCATCTCCATTCAAAGACACATGTCAGTGCACAGTGGGGATGGATGATACGAATCGAAGAATACACACTGGATGGAAATGTTAGGAGTTTGGAAAATACAGGAAACTTCAATTTTAACAATTATTAAAATTCACATGGGCTGTGCACAGTGGCTCTCGCCTGTAATCCCAGCACTTTGGGAGGTTAGGGTGGGTGGATTGCTTGACGCCAGGTATTCGAGACCAGCCTGGCAACATGGAGAAACCCCATGTATACAAAAAAATACAAAAGTTAGCCAGGGATGATGGTGTTTGCCTGTAGTCCCAGCTACTTAGGAAGCTGAGGTGGGAGAATTGCTTGAGCTTGGAAGGTCGAGGTTGCAGTGACTGGAGACTGCACCACTGGACTCCAGCCTGGGCGACAGCAAGACCCTGTCTAAAAAATTGTGAGAACACCCACTTGAAAGAAATCCTATAAATGTAAGTAGTTTTGAAAGCCTGATGCAAATTAATAATTATATAATGCTCAAAAACTTAATCATGAATGAGTTATTATACAAAGTTATATAGCATTTATCGGTGGCTCATTCTTTTTCCTTTTATTTTTTATTTTTCGAGATGGAGTCTTGCTCTGTTGCCCAGGCTGGAGTGCAGCGGCACAATCTTGGCTCACTGCAACCTCTGCCTCCTGGGTTCAAGCAGTTCTGCCTCAGTCTCTGAGTAGTTGGGATTACAAGTGCATGCCACCACGCCTGGCTAATTTTTTTGTATTTTTAGTAGAGATGGGGTTTTGCCATGTTGTTCAGGCTGGTCTCGGACTCCTGACCTCGTGATCCGCCGTCCTCGGCCTCCCAAAGTGTTGAGATTACAGGTGTGAACCACCGCGCCCAGCCTTTTTTTTTTCCCCCCCGAGACACAGTCTCGCTCTGTTGCCTAGGCTAGAGTGCAGTGGCACGATCTTGGCTCACTGTAGCCTCTGATTTCTGGGTTCAAGCAATTCTGCTTCAGTCTCCGAAGCATCTGGGATTACAGGCGCACGCCATCATGCCCAGCCAATTTTTTGGTATTTTTGTAGAGACAGGGTTTTTCCACGCTGGCCAGGCTGGTCTTGAACTCCTGACCTCAAGTAATCCACCCTCTTCGGCCTCCCAAAGTACTGAGATTATAGGCATGAGACACCGTACCCGTCCCCTGTGGCTCATTCTTTGGATTATGGGTTTCCACTTTTGCAAGGTAACCTGAGAATTCCACAGATACTCTTTAAGCAGTGGTACCTGAGGTTTAATAGGAAGTGTTTTTATCTTAAGTCAATTAATAAAATTTTTTTCTATCCATTTTAGTTTTCGTTTTCTTTTTCTATCCATTTTAAAGAGTGTTGGATCTGTGGGTGAATTGAAATTTATTTCTAATATGTAAGCAGATTTAATTTTTATGTAGTGTTCAATTGTTCTGTGATTCATGAGCCACTACAAAATGAGTCTTTTGTTTGTTTGTTTGTTTGTTTTCGAGACGGAGTCTTGCTCTGTTGCCAGGCTGAAGTGTACTGGCGTAATCTTGGCTCACTGCAACCTCCACCTCCTGGGTTCAAGTAATTCCCATGCCTCAGACTCCCGAGTAGCTGGGATTACAGGCGCACGCCGACATACCTGGCTAATTTTTTGTATTTTAGTAGAGACAGGGTTTCATTGTATTGGCCAGGATGGTGTTGATTTCCTGACCTTGTGATGCACCCTGCCTTGGCCTCCCAAAGTGCTAGGATTACAGGAGTGAGCCACTGCGCCTGGCCCATGAGTCTTTATTAATAGAGATTTCTTACTGGTGTTATGAGGCAGGTTCTGCATATTCCTCACCCATCATATGTATTCCACTTGCCTTTCTTCTGGGGAAAAATGCCTCTTTTTTATGGGGAAAACTATTCTTTTTGGCATGATTCAATGTTTACTCCATTTTCTTTGCTAATAAGGACTTGGTATCAATTTATAAGTATGTAAAGTTTACCGTAGAGTATTGTCTCATGTGACTCATTCTCATTTTTTGCCCTTTATAGTCTTTGTTGTTATTTCTGAGTATTATTTGGATGATTCCTTTTGACTTAAGGACAGCCCTGTGATACGACAATATTTTTATCTAATCTGATGGAGAAAGCATTCAGTCTCCTGATCAAGTATGATGTTAGCTGCAGGTTTTTAATAAATGCCTTAATTCAGTTTGAAGGAGTTCCCTTCTGTTCATTATTTATTGAGTGTTTCATCAAGTGGTATTGAACTTTTTCAAATGATTTTTTGCATCTATTGGGATGATCCTGGTTTTTTTTTTTGACACAAAGTTTTGCGCTTCTTGCCCAGGCTGGAGTGCAGTGGTGTGATCTCGGCTGACTGCCACCTCTGCCTCCCGAGTTCAAGCGATTCTTCTGCCCCAGCCTCCTGAGTAGCTGGGATCTCCACACCTGTTTTTTTTTTTTTTTTTTTTTTTTTTTTTTTTTTTTTTTTAATATTTTTAGTAGAGACGGGGTTTCACCATGTTGGCCAGGTTGGTCTTGAACTCCAGACTTCAAGTGGTCCACCCACCTCAGCCTCGTAAAGTGCTGGGGAGAGCCACCGTGCCCAGCATATCCCACAATTTTTTTTTTTTTTGAGACAAAGTCTTGCTTAAAGTTCAAAATCAGTAAATTGGACACACTTCATTACTATTATTATTTTTGAGATGGAGTATCGCTGCTCTGTTGCCCAGGCTGTAGTACAGTGGCTCAATCTCTGCTCACTGCAACCTCTGACCCCCAAGTTCAAGTGATTCTTGTGCCACAGCCTCCTGAAATCTCAGCTGTGATTATAGGCATGTGCCACCACGCCCAGCTAATTTTTGTATTTTTAGTAGAGACAGGGTTTCACCATGTTGCCCAGGCTGGTCTCGAACTCCTGGCCTCATGTGATCCGCCTGCCTCGGCCTCCCAAAGTGCCTCCCAGGTGTGAACCTGTGTGCCTGGCCTCATTCAAGCCATTGAATGTGGGGGGAGAGGTGGAGAAAATCATTTGTGCTGAGTCTGTGGATGTTATATGCCAAGGAAGAGGCCCAGTTGATAAGAGGGCTCAGGAGAGCCTTGTGAGAGCTTGGTCAAGGACTGAATCTTTTGCCAGTATGTAACGTTATATGCAGCACGTGACATATACAGGTACCTATGTATATTGGAGACTGCATTAAGGGGATTCTGCACAGCTGAAGCCCTGACGTGTGGACACCGAGTTGGGGTGGTCACACTTGAGAGTTTGGGATGTTGTTGATACTAGGAGACCCAGGGACAGCTCTGGCCTCTGAAAGGACCATTGAATTCAACCCCTGGAATCCACCCAGACCTTGAGCGTATTTTATCCTTGCATAGCATCACTCCCCCATGACCTGTCGGGGCAGCTGTGTTCACTCCTCTGCGTCCTCTACCTCACGTCCTCCTGAGCACTTGGTATTTCTACTCTGGTGATAAAAGGTCCCAGTCTCAAGTCTCCTCTCAGGTGACACTGTGACTCGTGCCTGTAATCCCAGCACTTTGGGAAGCTGAGGCAGGCAGATTGCTTGAGGTCAGGAGTTTGAGACCAGTCTGGGCAACATAGTGAAACCCCATCGCTATAAAAAATACAAAAATTAGCCAGTTGTGGTGGTGCACACCTGTAGGCCCAGCTACTTGGGGGGGCTGAGGCAGGAGGATCGCTTGAGCCAAGGAGGTCAAGGCTGCAGTGATCCATAATCACACCACTGCACTCCAGCCTGGGTGATAGAACCCTGTCTCAAAAAAAAAAAAAAAAAGAAGGCCAGGCAGAGTGGCTCACACCTGTATCCCAGCACTTTGGGAGACCTAGGTGGGCAGATCACCTGAGGTCAGGAGTTCAAGACCAGCCTGACCAACACAGTGAAACCCCCATCTTTACTAAAAATACAAAAAAATTGGCGGTGGCTCAAGCCTGTAATCCCAGCACTTTGGGAGGCCGAGATGGGCGGATCACGAGGTCAGGAGATCGAGACCATCCTGGCTAAAATGGTGAAACCCCGTCTCTACTTAAAAATACAAAAAACTAGCCGGGCGAGGTGGCGGGCGCCTGTAGTCCCAGCTACTCGGGAGGCTGAGGCAGGAGAATGGCGTGAACCCGGGAGGCGGAGCTTGCAGTGAGCTGAGATCCGGCCACTGCACTCCAGCCTGGGTGACAGAGCGAGACTCCGTCTCAAAAAAAAAAAAAAAAAAAAAGCCAGCCATGGTGGCACACACCTGTAACTTCAGCTCCTCGGGAGGCTGAGGCAGGAGAATCTCTTGAACCTGGGAGGCAGAAGTTGCAGTGAGCCGAGATTGAGCCACTACATTCCATCCTGGGCAACACAGTGAGACTCCGTCCCAAAAAAAAAAGAAAAAAAGTCCAGTGGTGGCCAGACACATGGTGGGCTTGGGAACAGAAATGCTGGGTGCCCTCCATGGTGTCCTGCTAAGATAAGTAAACAACAAAAAGGAAGGGGCCCCAGGTGGGGGAAGACGCAACAATTGTTCTGAGAAACAGCTAATCACAAAACAACTCAGGGGCACAGTGACCTCCCCCATGACCCTATAAAGTTTCCGTCCAGCCCCCACCTCTTGGCAGACAGCTCCTTCTCTGCTGTGCTGCCCGTTGCACTTGCAATGTATTTTCCTACTTTCTCTATTAAACTTGCCTTTCTTTACCCACTGTCTTGGTAAATTCCTTTACTGCCCCTGAAACTGGCTCTAGCTAAGTGCACCCAAGACATACTCCAGCCTGGGCAACAGAGTGGGACCCTGTAAAACAAAACAAAACAAAAACCCAAAAGATTAGCCTCTTTAGGCTCTCAAGGACAGCATTTTTTTTTTTTTTTTCATTGCTAATGAAAGAGAATCCAAACTTTCTGTGAAGCAAAAGTCCCTCATTTCTTGGTGTGTTCCAGGAAGTCCACTTTTTAGACTTGGAGGATTCAGTCATGAAAGAGCTGACTGCTGTATTTGGTGGAGGTGAAGGGACTCCAGCCCAGGGAGAAGTGCCTCCCCGATTTGGGATCTGGGATCTGCTGGCCTCAATGACCCTCAGATGCAGTTGAAGTGGGTGAACACAGCCTGGAAGCTCAGGAGGCCTGAATGGAGGGGAGGGAATAGCACTGCTCTAAGCTCAGGCCTGCTGA